CTGCCCACCCACCCGCGCCCCGTCCCTTGCTGAGCCCTTGCCTTGCCCGAGGCCACGGAGGGCAGCGGAGAGCAGGACGGTCGGATTGGATTCTGCCTTCCTTTGTTGTCGGCCCGGCCAGAGGGCCAGAATAAATCCCCCGACATCGCCAAAATTTGAACCGCCGTTGCCGTTCGCTCTGCCCCGAAGTAAATAACTCCAAAGTAAGACACGGAATTGGAGTGAGGCCGTCGCTCTGGGTGGCCGAGACGGCGACGACGACGACCGGGGGGGTGTTGTTGGTGTTGTCGGCGGGGGACAAATTCAAGAAAATATGATAAACTGCCGCCCGGGCTCAATACACCCACGCTGTTCGTTGTGCTCCCGACGATCGCCGGACACGATATTGGTGCCTGGATTTATGTATGTTGACCGACGTGCGGCGGGGCGGGGGTGCGTGGCGGGGAGGCTGCAGCAGCCCATGGCCCGGCCCGCCGGCCCCGCCCACAAGACGACATGAATCAGCAGCACCCATAAATCAGGCGCCTATTAGCATATGTGACCCTCATGGGACACGCTTGTCTTGTCACATATGAGACACGCTTGTCACTGCGACGCCACGCCCCGCCACGCCCCGCAGGTGGACAACAAGGCTTCCTCGTTATGGCCCTCCTTATCCGGCGCTCGATGGGCTGCCTACCTGCCCGGGGCCGTTTGGACTTTTTATTGTTATGATTTCCTCTCTTTCTCTCCTCCTTCTCCTTCCATCTCGAGGAGAGGGAGAGAAAAAGTGTGGCGTTATATCGACGTTATAATGAGGCGCGCATTATGCGCACGCGTGGGTATCGGGTCGGCTTACGTTCTCGGAAGGCCGAGTTGCGCGACGCTGGAAGGTGTCGGTCCTGTCGGGGCCCCTGTCGAGGTCCTGCGGGACGTCCTGCTGGCGGCGGGGGCCCCGCAGGTTCGACGGGTCGCAGGCTGGAGAGGTCGCGCCGCCGCGCCGTCGGGGAGCATAGCGGCGGGGCGGGCTGTCCGTCACGAGGAGGGGCCGACCGACCGCCGATCCGATTGGACGACAACCACACGATTGATGGGCGTGTGCCTGACACCCTAAGCGTGAGATATGGGATCCGCGTTGTCCGAGCCTCGGGACCCTATCGGCTCAAGTCCATCTCGCGCCCGCCCGCCAAGCGGCCCGCCTCTATTCACACGAGCTCACCATGACTGCTGTTGGAGCCTGGCCGGTCGGCTGCGGAGCCCCGCGGTGTGTTCTCCAGGAGGTTCTCCAGCGGGTAAGCCCTTGGACGGGTGTGGGCGGCGGTGTTTCCACCCCTGTGTGGAGCTGTGCGCATCATCAGAAGGTGATGAGATTAATTTCCCGACGATTTGCCTCGCCCGACGCCCGGCGGCCACCGACGCCTTTTCTTTTTCTCTCCGATGCGAATATAATATAGTATGTGGGTCACGCCATAGTGGCTGACCTACATCGCTGGCCTGCCACCCTCTTGTTCTTGGCGAAATTGAATCCGTTCCTTTTTCTTGTGCAGAGCCGAGGGGAGCAGCCGACGCGGCGGCGGCGGCGCGTCCGCCAAAAAATGATGAGCAGCCTCGATCGTCTGGCTGCTGTGCGCTGCCGCGCGGTGGGTGGTGCGTTTGGGGCGGGAGCCCCGGACGGGGTCAGACTGCTGTCGGCCCAAGTTTTGGCGCAGGGTGGCAGCGGATGCTTCGGAGAAAGTCTTGGAGTCCGTGATGTGCAACCTCGACATTTTCGACGAGGGAAAAATCAGCTAAGAGAGGTAAGGATTACGCACAACTAACTGTAAGCGTGGAAAGTAATTGAATCGCATTGCTGCTTACAGGTTCAGCCTGCTTTGTTGTCTGACCTAGGTGTGCGGGTGGATGGGGGCGTGGAGAAAGAGGTAGTGGTTGGTTGTTTTTGGGGTGGGTCAGTTCGCCAGTCATGGTCTGCCCCCCTGTCCTGAGCCCTTGCTCGGCCCTCTGCGCCCCGCGCCGGCTGCACGGAAGGGCGGCATCAGGATCAGGGCAGGTATTAATTGAGGACTGCTTGATACAAAACATGGGAAAACGATGACGATCACTTTCAAAAGCCACGCAGAGCAGGGCGCACGGACGAGCTGCAAGTCTGGGGGCGGCTGTCCTAAGGCTAAGGTAACGGTTGTGTGTAACAGGTGTGGCGCTGAGGGGCCTTTCTTTCCTACACCAAACAAAAGCGCGCCTCACTATTAGCTGGACTCTGAGGCTATCGATACCTGCCCCCTTTTTACTCGCCGACCGCCAAAAGATTTTTAATGTAAGAATCGAAAAGGAACCTCCGCGGGGTTCATCGAGTCAATTTTTCGACCCTTGCCGCCGCGCGCGGCCTTTCCGGTGGCGGCTTCGGCGGCGGCAGTTTGGTTAGTTTTGGCGTTTTTGTTGTTGTCGGACATGAAAAGGGCCGCGCACAGACAAGAATGGCCCTAAACCTCTTTCCCATCCCCAACACGCATTTTTGCGTCACTATGCCACCCACCCTCCCACCTGCCAGCCGGCCCCTCTCCAATCCGTGCAAAATGGCCAGATTTATAGATCCATCCCGGGAGCGGCGGCGTCGGCCAGGGAAATGGATGGAGTCTGCCGCGCCGCCGCCGCCACCACCACTTCCGGAAATGGAGTGTTTGATCCGGGTGGCCACTGCACGGGCACGCAGGCGGGCTATAACTCAGATCGAGAGCGGGGGGTGGTGGTGGGCAGTAGGGCGTGGGAGTGGTGGTATAGTTCATTCGCTAAATGTAGACACACCGGCATCCCTCTAAACCCGAGGCCCCATTGTAAGCGTCATTACGATGCGTGGAGCCCGGTCCCCGGCCCCCGCCCGACCCCTAGCTAGACCTGCCAACATCTTTTCATAGGGAGAGCGGAGGCGAGCGAAGCAGGCGCGCGGGTGTCTTCGGCAACACTAGGCCGAGGGATCGACCCTCGTAATGAGCGTAACCAGGCCGTTTATGAGGGCGACAAAGAAGGGCCAGCGATTGTTTCGATTTCCTTTGCGTGCCGGTGTGTCTACATTTAGCGAATGAACTATACGGCGGGGTGCTGCCGGCCCGGCTGGCTTTGAGGCAGGTCTGGTCGTCCACCACCAGGTCCGCCGCCGCCACCCCTCGAGCCGCCCAGGTCCGCTGCTTTGTCGGCTCTGTTTACGCAGCAAGGTAAACAAACGTTTGTGCGTATCGAGTGCTCGCCGCCGCCGCTCGCCGCCGCTTTGATCCATCGTTACGGAACGGTTAGTGCGCGCCGGTCGCTCGCTCGGGGGAAATCGATGGATTAGTTTATAGCTCGGCCGTAACGCGCGTGGGGTTGGTAGCAGTGTAACGGGCCGCGCCGGGGTTCGAACCCTGGACGGATGTGGCCGTGAGGGCGGGGGTCCGTTGCCGGCCGGGTGCTGCTGGCCAGCCCTGGCCCCGGGCGCCGCCGTCGCTGGCCGCCACATACAACAACGCGTCTTTGCCGAGTCATGCAGGCGTCATCAATATCCGCGCCGTTGCTGCTGCTGCTGCTTTTGGGAACGCAAATCTGGAAAGTCTTTGAATAAAAGCAAAAGCGGCCGTGCCGATTATCGGGGATGTTACGCGAACACCGTCAACCACCTCTGCGCGCGCTTTGCCGGACGGTCGTTGGGGAGGGGAGACGGGCCTCGTTGTCCGTATCCTTTTGAATGGATCGCGCCGTGCAACTGACCGCCACATAGGGATGCTCGTATATATGCAAGCGTCATGGTTGCAAAATATGTTTCTCAAAAACTATCGGAATGAAGTGTCTGATGGCTGCTGCTGCGTCTGCGCCGCTGCTGACCCTCCTATTATTGATGCTGGTCGTCGGCGACCCCCAGGGGGGGGCCGTCGGGGGCCGTGGTGGAGGCATCGCGGATGTACACAATGCACATTCCTGGGAGGGGCGCGCCCGCCGACACCTCGCCGGGGCCCCTCCAGCTGCCCCCTCGGCTGCCCCCTCGGGTCCACGTTGGGCCCCCTCTGGCCCCCTCGGGCCCCATCGGGCCGGCCCGAGCCCGGGCTCGCCCTCCTCGAGAGAGAGGCCACTCCCCAATCACGTCTCTGAGTTACAATCCTCGCGGTCCGGTCGGGTCCGCCCGCGGCCCTGCCCGCGCCCGGCTGGCCACTTTGCTTCATTCGTATGCGGACGCCCCTCTCTATCTCTCTCCCCCCGAGATGCTCGTAGCGACGCCGCCGCCGTGCGGACGCGACGCCAGAGCCACGTTACCGTTTTCATTCAGATGAGTTGTGCCCGCGCGGATGCCCCACCCGGTCATTGTTTTGTCCGGCACATCCATCTGATGTGGTGGTGTGCTGCACCGGCGGCGCGCGGGGCCCAATGAGCGCTCTCTCTCTCTCTCTCTCTCTCTCTCTCTCTCTCTCTCTCTCTCTCTCTCTCTCTCGCACACATTTGCCGCTCTCACACTCGCCTCATCAGCCGCATGTCGGGCCCCGATGGTTGGCTTTGTACGGAAGGCATAAGTAAGGTTCGAATAGCAGCCAGCCAGCGGCCGGGCTGGTCCGACGGTTACGACCGGCGGCCGGACCCCGAAGGCCAGCAACAGCCCGCTCGCTGAATCAGTTCCGTTCGGCTGAAAGATTTTTCCTCCTTTACAATCTGCGCTGGCTGCACAGAGAGTGACGTGGAGTGGAGCAGACCGAGAGCGGCCTCGGCGCGCAGTTTGTGGCGGAGCGAGAGTCGGCCGAGTCCTTTGGAGGACGAGGAGAGGGAGTCCAGATAAAACACTTTCTTTGACATTTGGTGCGCGGACGTGCAGTTATGACCCAACGATGTGAGTCAGCCGCGCCCCGGCCCGGCCCCGCCCCGTCCGGCGCTGCGGTGAGCGGCCCTCGCTGACTCACGCGACATACGCGGACGGACTTGGCGCGGCAAGAGAGCGGCGGCGCTCGCAGAGAGCTCTTCTAGAGCGAGCGAGGACTCCGTTTAGGGCGTCTTGCTCCTATTTGCAAAGGGATCGCCTGGAGTAACTCGTTCGCCGCTGGCTGGCACGGCGTGCGGCGGGGCGCGCGCGGTCGGTCAGGCTCGTTGTCTGTCGCCGAGTAAAACGCAACAATAAATAGAATGAATTCGAAGCGATATACACTAGAAGCATGCAGCAGCGGCAGCGGGCCGCGCACCGCGCCGGCTAATGCATTCATTCCCCGCGGAGGGCATTCCATATACGTTTGCTGCAAGGAAATGGAGCATTTGGAACGGTACAAAGGGACCCCGCTAGAGAAGTCAATATCAAGCCCACTGGAAGCTTTGATAGCGACATGTCCGCAGGAGGCCTGCCAGGGGGGGACGACGGGCGGCCCCACCCCGCCCTGCCTCGCCACGCCCTGCCCGGGTAACGAATGGTCATCAATGTGGTGGCATGCACGGGGCTGTACGTCTGTGACCGGAATAAGTTGTCAGCCTGCCTGACATCTGAGTCAGAGTCGCGGGCCGTGCTGCACCCCGCCTCGCCACGGCCCGCCGGTGCGCGCGCGCACACGGACGAATTAATATAAATCTCTGACCCCGGCTGCGGCAGTTTTTGGTTTCGGATACCTGTGAGAAAGATACTCGCGGGTGCGGTACTACGATGAGCGGGTAGAGGGGGCCATTATTTGAATGGCGAGGCGGGCACGTTCGTCTATTATATGCCGTGGTTTGGGGCGTGCCCTCCCTGCCCCGCTGTGGTCATTACTCGAAGGCTAAAGGTTTAAAATGTCGAAACCGGATACTCCCTCGCGCGGGCGCGCTGCTGGCCCGGCCCTGCTGCTGGCTGGATTTGATCGGAGCTGTTCTTCTCTATCTCGGCGATATGGGCGCGTGCTGTGCTGTGCGCGCCGTGCCGCGGGGCCGGGCCTCGACGTGAACCTCCGACCGGTGGCCGCGACCCCGCCACGCCCTCGTCCGGACCCGGCGGGCGGCCACCTGGTGGGCCAAGCTAGACGCGTGTGGGCCCCACCCTGGGGCCACCCGCGCGACCACATGCGGGACTTCGACCCCAGCCCGCGACCCTGGAGGGGGGCCCCGCGTAGACGCGACGCCAACCCCTCCGGAAGCACGCCGTGCCATGGGGGTAACCCCCTCCCGTCGCCGCCGACCTTGGACCCTCGGAGCGGCCGATGACGCCCGTCCAAGGGCCGCCGTCTGGGAGTTCCCCCGCGCGCGAGCTTTCTTTGGGGGACTCTCATGGGGGCCCCCGGTGGGGTCCTCGAGGGGGCCGACCCGACGCCGGCCCGTCCATGCCGTGGCATACCAATCAGACCGGGCCGCGAACAGCGCAGCGGCGGCGGGCGACAAGTGTTGCGTCGCCCCGAGGCTGCTGTGGCGCCTGCTGGGCCCTGCTGGGGTAGCATTTGAAAGCAGCTGCTGCCGTGGGATGTACCGACCCGCGGCGGGTACGTACTGTCAGCGGCGGGTACTTGCACTGCGTGGCCTTTGCGCCCCGGGCGCGGCGCTCCGCCCACCGCTCACTCGAAACGACGAAACGAAATGAGAAACTCCCCCTCCTGCTGCTGACGGTCCTCCTGTTGTGTGCCATCGGCACAGCTCGGGCTCTGCTCTCCCCGCGGGTCGTCGTCCTCCTCTGTGCTTCGCGAGGACCTCTGCCTCCTGCTTCTGCTCCCCTCCGGCCCGGGTGTCACTCGCGTGATGTCGGCTTTGTCCACCGAGTGGACCGCAGCTAAAGTCGGACGCAACTGTCTGTCCCCCTGTCCGTCGCGGCGGCGGCTCACCCTCCTCCCCGCCGTACCGC